TGTCAGGTTGTACGCTTTCCCTGAAAAGCAAAGGGAAGAATAATTAAGATAGCTTGAGTTGAGGAGAAGCTCTGTTAAGTCGCAGCTTTGCTCCATTAAGCAGAAAGATCTGTAGAGCAACTGCAAGTGATTAAAGTTATGAAAAGGTATCTTATTGTGATGAGAGAAACAACATATGGCTAAACATTACTACCTTTCTTTCCACTAATTCTGTCTAGAAGTGGTACTACTGATCTGTCAAATTACATTTCTAACACACAGAGACCTTTAAAAATGGGAAGCTCCCAGTTGTAGTGATCCTTGCATAGCAGGCTTTAGAAGTTGAACTTGAATAGTATGAGTTTTACAGTACTACTGTATTTAGAATAGAATGTTTCCAGGGATGGGGCATCTACCACCTCTCTGAGAAACATGTTCCAGTGCTTCACCACCCTCATTGTAAAAACTTTCTTCCTTATAGCTAGTCTAAATTTACCCTCTTTCAGTTTAAAACCATCATTTAAATATGACTTGCCTAGTCATAAATTTATAGGCACTGTGCAAATAAATTTACTGGGTATATTTTGCTCGAGGAGCTTGTTCAAGTTTCTCAGTAGGAATAAAACTTCTACATAGTGATGATCACCACATAGGTGACGATGGTTGGTTTTGCTTAGAGCCTGCTTTGATTTCCAGCCAGTAGAAGGACACTGTTAACATAATTGATATTAATAACTGATTCTGTTAATCATAGTTTCACATTACTGTTTTATCCTATTTTGTTCTACTAATCTGATTGTCTTTCAGGAAACTTCTCAATAACTAGAAGCTGATACTAACTTTTATATGTTTATAGGTAAAAGCTGTAGTTCCTTTGTGTTATTTCTGAATAACAGCTTTTAAATTGTTACTATTTATTTCCCTGACAGCATACACAGAGAGCATTTGCTGTTCACCCTCCTATTGATCCGACCACTGTGATACATTTACATGGTAATGTAGGAAGTCACATTGGTGACAAGAACTGGTTGAGTCTGCATGTTAATTCACATATAAGAAAGAATGGAATTTCTAGTTGAGGCTAAAAAAAAAAAAATATTATGGTGTGTCTCTTCTTCACAACCCATTGTCTCAGTTATGTTCAGACAAACATAAAAAGTACAGTTCTCCTGAAGTTTATAGCATTTAATTTGTGGACAAGCAAGCTTTTGTACTAAAATTGTGAGTTGGTAAGCAAGAAAGTTACTGCTATTTTGGTAAGCGTAATTAGAAAATGTAGGGATCATCTACTTTTGCTTCTTAAATACAGAGCCTTTGAAGAAAGACAGAAGCAAGCAGAAGAAAAAGAACAAAGATTTAGAGAACAAGTTCTGCAGCAGAGGAAAATTAAACTTCAGGAAGCAACTGATAAGTTCCAGCGTGCTCATCTGCCTTTTTCTCAGCACAGGCAAATAGGTTTGTAAATGAAAATTTAACTATTAGTCATAATACAGGTGTTTTTTCTATTAATAGAATATAATTGAGGCAAACAGAACAATTAAATTCACTCAAATTAATTGAATTAATGTAAGAACAATTTAACTGTCAGGAAGCTCAGATCTGATATATACAACAAAATTGGTTAGAAGAAATTAAAATAAAACAGTATTTTTTTTTTCTGAAAAATTATATTGTGAGGTATTTCACTATGTTCCAGTCACAGTAAGTACATCACCTCCTTGAAATATTGTGACTTCCTGGGTTTTCCCTTCTTTTTTCACTGCAGTGTCCTCACTGCTTACAATACCGTGCTTTCACAGCTGGGTGTGAGGTGTTACAAGGCCCCTGAAAGTTACTAGGACAGTATAATGATCTATTTGAAACCCCGAATGTGAAATAATCAAGAATATACATTTTGTTTATCATTAAGTAAAAGCAGCCCTCGCATATATTTACTGTGTTACATAACTTCTGCTGAATTAGTCAGCTTCTTAAACTGTTCTCTTGCTGCTGGGAAGTCATGATCACTTCAACTCCGTTCCTGCTTTCTTGGAATCAGCACAGATTGGCAGGAGTTTTTAACAGCATCAGCCAAGTCTGATTTCCAGTCAACTTTCCAGTGTTGAAACTCTTAATATATGGTATATTACTTAGGTATTCTTTAACAGATTTACTCTCCCAACTGCAGTTGCGCCAACTGTGAGGTAATGTCTCTGACTTCAAGATCAAATGTCAGATTAAAATTACAAAACAGTACTGGTTTAGGGCTTCTTCATAGCTCTACTGACAGCCCAGGCTGTGTAGCAATATAATGAATCACAATTTCTTTTCTTGGTTTTCCTTTATAGCAATTCTGCCTCTGCCACTTTCTACCCTACTTCTACTTACCTGGAAGAGGCAACACCTTGTGCCTGTCTGGACTCTTTCTCCACTGGTTGGATTATTAAGTTACAATTTGGCCTCTGTAAAATATCTGCAAGCCATAACTTTGGCTTAGTGCATGAGCGGAATAATCTTGATGTGAAAACAAAGTTAGTGTTGAGTTTTTTAACCTCCTACTTTTTCACCAGTGCAGTCTAAAAATGAATAGCAAACCTGTTGAATGCATGTGTTACTGTAAATGCTGAAATAGACTGGGGTTCTACTTAAGAGGACCGAAGGTTGCTCTAGCGTTGTCTAATGATGCTAAGCCACTCAGTTTATTGTAACAGCTTAAATTTAGGCTTCCAAACTACAGAAAATTAACCAAACCATATATGGTAAAATATTCCAATTTTAAAAGTATTTTTCCATTGTGTTTTTCACTCTAGTCCAGACAAAAACAGCCTTTCAATTAGAAGAAGCTCTTGAACAAATTAAGGGATCAGTTTTAACACCGGGACTGTGCAGAAACAAAACCACCTTCAGGTAAGCATTTCTGTTTACACTGATGATCAAAAGATGTAAATTGCTTAATGTGTTCAATAAACAGCAGACAATTACTCTTTAAGGAGTTATAGGCCATTTCTCTCATGGCAAAGAAAGCATTTCTATGAACTGTTCCAATGAAGCACTATGAAACATCCTTGAGTTGTTTATGTCCTTTTGGTAAAACTGCAGAAGAGATGACACAAACCTTTTCCCTTCAGTGGAATTCTGGGAATAGTCAGGCTGACCCAGTCCCCATTCAGCTATAGTCTGACTCAGATTGCCATGGTCATCAAACTATCTGCTGTTCTATGAATTATAAAGTATTTTGTCTAGATTATTTCTTATTCTCATCCAAATTTTTTCTTGACATTCAAAGATAATTTAATTTGTATATTCATCCCATGATCTTATCTATTTTCTAGCTGTCATTCCTTTAAATTTCTCATCCTCTCTATGTATCTTGAGCATCCTGAAAACAATTTGGCCTGCAATTTCATTTTATATTACATATAATTTGTATTGTGGTCTTTTCAGTCTACCCAAGCCCTTTTCAAGCATAGTTTATCTATCTGCTGGTTTTGATACTCCTTCCTAATTATTCCCTTCATAATCTCTAATTTTTTTAACATTTCAGTTCAGGGTTTTATTTTTGTTGTTGTGGTTTTTATTATCACTGTAATTAAAATTATTTTCTGCATTCTGTAAATTGAGCAGATGTTCAGAATAGAGATAAACTGTCTAAAAGGAGTCCCCCTACTTTTGAGCTTCATTGTGTCCTTTATCATGATGTTAATACTCAGTTTAGTTACATACCTGCTGATGATCAGTACATATGCAGGTGATAAACTGTAAAATTGAGAAAATATTTCATTGCTCTTAGAGCTGAATACTCATCCTGTCTGACAGTCACAAACATAGGAGGATTGCAGCCATAAAACCAACCAAACAAAAAAAAATCTACCTCCTAAATATAAGTTGAAATTATGACAAAAAAAAATTCAGATGTTTCTGAATCCTGTCTCAGGATTCCTGATCACTTGTCCCATTTCAGTAATACCTTGATTAAGGACAGCAACTCGGTGCCTCTTCCTTTTTCCTTTATCATTTGTTTCTTCAGTTTTCATCTTTCTTCAAACTGCTGCTTGTTCCTCCGGGTCTCACATTTTTCCCTCAAGACCTCTTCAAATGACATACCATTTTTCACAGTATAACATTGCTGCCACTTCATATTTGTATTATTTTTAAAATTCACTATCCTGTAATAATGATAGTATGCTTTTCCTGATTTTCATTTTTGTAACCTGATTTCCTAAGGAAAATAAATGTATACATTCATATTCTTTTACACTTTGTGTTCCCAGTAAACAAATTTGAAAGACACATAAGGATCTCAAGGATAATTATATTTCTACAGCTTTGAAATTGGCAATTGGGCAAGGAAGAAAGTGTGAAAAAAGATTTAAAAGTTGACTCTACATGGAGCTATTGGCAGGTCACAAGCCAGTTAGTATGGTTAAAACAACACGTGGATATCTTGGAACCTGCCACAGTGCTGCCTCTTTCCCACCTGGTAACCAGGAGGCTTTAGTAGGAGCTGTATAGGGTGGGTGCAGGAGGATGTACAGAATATTGGGGGTATGGTAATAAGGCAAATAGAATTAAGTTATTACAGTACAGCCTTCTGTATAGGGGCAAGGTATATAAATAACATGAAATAAACCTTTGCTTATACTAACAATTTGTCTTCCTTCCTTGCCACAGAAAATACTCTATACATTTCTGTCTGCATCTCACACAATCCCTTACTAAGCACTGGGATTCAAACTGAACACGTATCATGTAGCATAGATTCTTCTGGTCAGCTACAGAAGATGCTATTGCAGAGTTGTTCTTTTTGGTTTTGGTCTGGGAGCCATAGTTTGTGTGCATCATAAAAGTGGCATTTCTGTGTTTTCAGACATGGTTCCAAAAATTGCGCAAAATTCTTAGAGGGCAAATAAATTTCTTGCAATACAGTACAGCACAGCAAAGTAAGCTTTAACACAGAAAAACATTTTGAGAAGGTTCTCAGAGGTGAAGGTTCTTCAAAACTCAACAGTTCTGAGCTGTAAAGCTTTAAAAATATCTTAGAATCCCTTTAGTTTGAATTTTTGGGTCAACTAATAACTAACTCCGACAAGGTAGTAGATCCCTTTCTGTGTTTCTTAGATCCCTTTCTGTGTTTCTTAGGTCCCTTTCTGTGTTTCTTTCTCTTCTTAAACTTCTTTAAAGACTCAAACCAAAAATTTTGTATCATCTTTAGAATTTACCCTCCATCAGAAATAGAATACATAGAATTCATTGGCAGTCCCCTTTTAAAGGAAGAAATTAATATTGTATTAAGTACTCTAGATAAATATGGCTGCAGACTCAACTGGATATAGGTAAATTTTATAAGGTTCTAGAGTTCACAATGTCTATATTTAAAAAGTCGTAAAGAATTAAATTAAGTAATGGAGACATATTATCTCCCCTTTGAGAAAGGCAAAAAAATCCAGAAACACCTAATAAGCAAGAGAATCATAGAATTGTAGAGTCAACTAAGTTGGAAAAAACCTTTAAGATCATCAAGTCCAACCATTACCCCAGGACTGCCAAGACTATATGTAAGAATTATATATGAGAAATGCATCCTGGGAATGTTGAAAAGCATCTGCATGTTGAATGGACAATAAGATTTGGTTTGTTACTCAAAATCCAGTGATTGTTGAGGCAAAGTATCATTTTTTAAATATTGGACCTGATCAACCTGCTAAAATAAAAGCTGGATCTCCCCTTTTTGGTAAAGGAATAGCCATTTTACAAGTAACTTCACTGGAAGTTTATACCAATAGTCTGTTTCCAAGATCTTTTCTCTTTCTACCACTATTTGTCATAATTGTGAAGTACAACCAATACTTGATCCTAAACCAGCAACGCATAGGCTTGACTTTCTAATCAAGCATAAAGGTTATGGCTCTACTGAACAGATATCAGAACTCAAAACATGGATCTGGTGAGACATTTCTGTAAGTACCACTTTGGATATGCCAGACTAAGGGCATTTAGGGCCCTGGAACTGGGTTGGAACCAAAAGCCAGGATCCTTCGCTACCTGTTCCACTGAGCCAGCCAAGAATAGCCGACAGCCTAGCTGGTAATATAGCTGGTAATCATTATACTTCCAGAAGACTAACACTTGATCTACCTATGGGCTGTTGTGTTTTGGTGTGTGGGTTATTTTTACTTTTTTTAAGGCCTACCTTTCTCACTGGTTAAAGCTTCTTTGTCATCCTTGATATCTACCTAGGCCTTGTTTCTTTTCCAAAGCTTGTCTCGTTCCTAGAGATCTTGCCCAGCCTCATTCCAGTTCTGTCTGCTTTTCACTCTTTACCATATCTTCTTACATACCTCCTGTCTTCCTAGTCACATTTTTCTTGTTATTTGACTTCACATGCTTCTTGGTTTCTTTGATTCCTGGTGCCAACCAGACCCATGGTTCTTGAGAGTTCTCATCCTGTAGAAACCTGTGGTTTCCTCTATCTGACTTACCAGGCTAGGTTTACCCTGACCACAGTACCCAGCTACACCAGCTACTCCAAAGATATATTTTTTCAGGTAGCAAATACAAATTCCTCAATGTACCACATTACTGTCATTGCCTGTCATCAGTACGTTTGGGCTCTCTAGATACTACAAAACCTTCTTGCCATTTGAAGTAAGGGAATATCTGATAGCATCGGTATATAGTTATGCTCTATATAAACCAACCTTATAAACCAACCTATTTTTTTGTTTAAGAAAAAATAAAACAATAAACACACACACACAAAAAAAACCCCCAAAACTAAACAAACAAAAAAAACCTCCACAACATAAACAAACACCCTGTGTTCCATTTCTGTAAATGATCATACTGTTGGCTGACATTTTCCAGATTAATTCAGCCTGAGGAAGTCCCCCAACAACCTAATCAGCAAAGGCTGACTATTTATAAATAGCAGAGGAGAAGGTTTAAAATTGAAAGAGTTGGACAGTTTTAGCTGGTACTAACAGCAACACCTATAGTTAGGTATAGTATAGCTGTCCTTCACTTCCCAGGCATTTATTGATGATGTGTACTTTTGGAAAGGGACATGTTTAACAATATACAGGTGACGAATACAAATAAACCAAAGTAATAAATTATTTGCTTGCATCAAGAACCACAGATGACACTTCATCCTCGTCAGCATCTAGAAACGGTTCTTGCCATCAGAAGCAGATTTCAGCAATGGTTGACTGCAATAAAACAATACAACAGAACAGTAGAACAAACACGGATAGTAACCAACTTCTCTTCCAGAAAAATCTGGAAAAAATGCAACAGCTCCTTGAAAAACAGCATCTCAGCAACATGGAGGTATGATATTTCCATGGGATTCATTACATGCTGCTTCTTAAATGTAGTAGAAAGTGTCTTGAATGTGATAAAAATGAAAGGTCTTTTAAGCACTCTTTACCAAGCAGACAATACCTGAGAGCACACTATACTATGCCAGTAAGTGTCCCTGCTCATGGCAGGGGGGTTGGAACTGAATGATCCTGGGGTCCTTTCCAACCCTAACTATTCTATGATTCTATGATTCTATGCATATTTTTCTGTAAGAAATCAGAGATCTGTAAAAATATTTGCAAGAGTAGTATCACAAAATCTTCAGATCTCTGTCATGTTGTCTTTCTTTCTGTGAACTTAAGATTTGTATGTCAGAATTCTTGGCTCTGAAGTATCTAGCCATTAGTCTAACACAGGAATCTTGTGCTAACTCCAAAGTTAAATTGGCAGCTTGCAATTCACATTGCTTTGCTGATTGCTACAGTCCAGCACAAAGTGCTATAGTAGTATAATTATGACAGGTTAAATGTCAGGGGAGGGGAGGAGTGTTTCTTAGGGATTGACTTCAATTCTCTTGAAATCATTTTTTGTCATCTTTGAAATAAATGCAGGTGTTCTAGCAACAAGCGCGTTAACTTTCTGCCTATACTGATTTCTGAACCCAAAATCAGTTTCAAAAGTCACCTTAGAAACACAGTGAAAATCAACAAGAACTGGGCTCCAAAGTGATTTGTTATGACTGCACTTTTAAGTGTGATTTTAGGTATGTCCACAATCTCTTTGATTTTGGAGATATTGTCTTTAATATTACATTTTTATTTTTTTTAAAAAGAAGAGGACATAATTTTGAACCCATTCTTTTACTTCTGTAATATTATTTACTGGTATGTGGACTTGTGGGGTCTGAAATGAGCTTGACCCTATGAAGCACCATCCCTTTGTGTTGGTGATGGCCAGAGGCATGGGATCATTGGTGGCAACAGAGCAAAGGCTTTTCCTTTTAATACCTATGTATGAATATCTTTTGAGAGACTGTAAACAGTTCAGATATATTTTGAGTTCTTTGATACTGATGTTTACAGGCACATTCATCTCTATCTTTGTATGTGCTTATGAGTACTGATGGGTATTCATAAGAATCTTGAGCAGCAGATGGCTAACACAGAAAATCTCACTCAGCTGGAGTAAATTTCCAAAAGGTTCAGAAGACAGAAAATACACTTCGTACTGAATTTATAGAATGGAGCTGATAAACCTGGATTCTAGATAACCACTTCCAAAGAAAATATAAAAAAGTCTAAGCTTTTATTTTTTGTGTGTTTCGTTGGTACAGTGTTTGCAAATTCCTCCTTAAATGATGACGCTGATTTGGACAGTAGCTGCATTAGGACATCTTAGAATTAGGGAAAAAAAATCAATCTCTTTGAGAAAAATGTAAAGAAAAGATTCTTTGTAATACATCGTAAGACAACTATATTGTAGTTTATTTTATCAAACACAATTATCACGTTCTAATTGAATTCTAGAATCATAGAATCAACTAGATTAGAAAAGACCTTTAAGATCAAGCCCAGCCATTACCCCAGGACTGCCAAGACAACCATAAACCATGTCACTATGGGCCTCATCTCACATTTTTTGAACACTTGCAGGGACAGTGATTTTACCACTTCCCTGGGCAGCCTGTTCCAATGCCTGAACACCGTCTCTGTGAAGAAATTTTTCCTAATATCTAATCTAAACCTCCCCTGGCACAGCTTGAGGCTGTTTTCTCTTGTCCTAACACTTGTTACTTGGGAGAAGAGACCAGCCACATCCCCTTTCCATCCTCCTTTCAGGTAGTTGTAGACAGCATTAAGGTCCCCCAGAGTCTAAACAACCCCAGATCCCTCAGCTCTCCTCATGAGACTTGTGCTCTTTTTTCCTAGGGAAAAGCTGCCATGCATCATGCCTGAATTTTTATAGTTTTTCTAAATTTCATAATCCGATTTAGAATTTGTGTTTACAAAATAATATATTTTTGAAAATGCTTTGATCCTGTGAAAAATTTTGCTTTTTTTTTCCCAGAATGTATTTTTCTGCTACCACTAGGGGTTGCTCAGCTTCTTCTCTCTGATAAATAGTTTCAAATTGTAAATATTTATACTTCATTTTACATTCTTGAAATTACATCCTGTGGACTCTGATTATAAAAATAGTCAAGAAATGTATTGTAATTGTTCTAAGGCCTGAGATCTGAAAGTTTAATATTTGCATTGTGCTGGTGTGCATGTGCATTGTGACTTCCTATGATGTAAAATAGTATTTATAAAACTCTAACTAATACAGTTTAAAATTTATAATTATTTATAATAGTCTTACTGACAAGAATAGGCTTCAGTAGTCTATTGTCTGTTGTCCAAAGTCATTTCAACAGTGCTTGCCTTTCTGAAACTAATGTCAAAGTATTTCACTGTGCACATGCTTTGCAGTCTAACCATCCACTGAGATCCTTTGACCTCTCTTTGTTTCTATTTTTACAGGCCCAGCAGGATTATAAAGATTCCTAAAATTCTTTTCTTTCCTATAGGGCAATAACATTCTATGTATACCCTTACTAGTAGATTTGGTGTGTTCCCTGCTTTGCATGCCTAAAACTTTGTAGTTTCATTGTTAAGACAAGGGGTTTAGAGACCCTTCCACCATTCTTCAGAATTATTTTTCTTAAAAAATTGAGAGCAGTAGATTTTATTTTGCAAAAGTTAAGTCTGAGCCAGTACACCAAATTACTGTTTTATGTTCACATGTTCCATTTTGAAGAAATTAATATTGTTAACTTTATTCACAATCAAAGGTTTTGTCGCACAGTCCTTTCGCAGTTTTGTTACAATCATAAGTAAAATCTTTAAGGTGGAGCTGGTAGCATGGTCTTCAGATAAAGCTGCACCCAGCTTTTCACCAAAAGATATTACTCCCAAGTGCTTATCATTTTTCTAAATGTTAACTGTTTATGTTGAAATTTTCCACTTCTGCCTCCTGCCTTGAAGTGACTGATTTAGAAATTTTCTATTGAAATGGCTCAACTGTAACAAGGAATAGTATTATTCAGATAACCATATCCTGGGCCACATCAAAAGAAGCGTGACCAGCAGGTCAAAGGAGATGATCCTGCCCCTCTGCTTTCATGAGACCCCACTTGGAACGCTCTGTGAAGTTTTGGTGTCCTTGACATAAGAAGGACATGGAGCTGTTGGAGCAAGTCCAGAGGAGGGCCACGAGGATGATAAGAGGGTTGGAGCACCTCCCGTATGAAGACAGGCTGAGAAAGTTGGGGCTGTTCAGCCTGGAGAAGAGAAGGCTGTGTGGAGACCTCAGAGCAGCCTTCCAGTATCTGAAGGGGGCCTACAAGGATGCTGGAGAGGAACTCTTCCTCAGGCACTGTAGTGATAGGACAAGGGGTAATGGCTTTAAAATTAAACAGAGGAAGTTTAGATTAGATATAAGGAAGAAGTTCTTTACAGTGAGGGTGGTGAGGCACTGGAACAGGTTGCCCAGGAAAATGGTAAATGCTCCATCCCTGGCAGCGATGAAGGCCAGATTGGACAGAGACTTGGGCAACACGATCTAGTGTGAGGTGTCCCTGCCCATGATAGGGGGGTTGGAACTAGATGATCTTAAGGTCCTTTTCAACACTAACCATTCTATGATTCTATAATTCTATGATTTAATGATTCTATAAGTTTTGTCTTTTCATCACCTCTTTAATTTGGTGGACATACAAACTTGTTTTGATTAGTACAGTATTTTTAAACTCTTCCAAAAAAATATATCATGCTTGAATTAAACTGCTTGATTGATGTAATATTTTATCTCTGTTGTTTCACTTTTAAAACAAAATACTTGGAAGTAAGGGCTAATTCACAACAAAATAGATATAGATTATGACACAGAGATTGTATTTTTCTTCTCCCTCCTTTATATGACCATAACTGGGTTATTAGAGTGGTATCTATGAAATCCAAATTTAAATCCCTTTCTGATTGATTTGAAGCATGAATTTTACCTTGGTTCTCCTTTTTCTCCAAGCATATTGTACAGCCATTGAAGTAGTCAGTATCAGTCTTTCTGCAAGGAGATTACATTCCTTTTGCCATAAAAACCTCCAATATATGGACTGGAATACGAGTATAATTTCTGAGAAACTAGAATCCAAACCATGAGGTCAGAGGGTTATTCTTATATTATTTCTAACATTACAAAATTTTGTATCTGCTATACTGTGTGTGTTTATATATGTTACATGTAGAATTAAGTAAGTCTCTGAGAAATAACACAGAATGAAAGCAGCTGATGCTGCAAACACATAGATACAGCCATTGGCTTACTTACGTGAGTGAGTTGACCTTTATGACTGCTAGCTGTTTGTGTTACTATGCGTTTGAGGTTGGACTGCGTCTATGAAATTGAGATGTTTCAGGTAACTGATGGAAAAACTGAACTCATTTTCAAGTGTGTTTGTAGCATGTCTGGAATGAGTTAAACAAGGATTCCTTCTGCAAAGTGTATTGTAACAGTCTGACTCTTCCAAGGCATAGACAAGACCAGCATGGAAAAAAGGAGTGCCTGTGTACAGAGTCTGTCCCAGGTGTCGTGAACTCACAAAATGCTCGGGGCTAGTTAGAGAGGAAACAGACTCTTAAGGTCAGGGTTAGCATAAAATGGTGTTGGAACTGAAATCAGACTTGATTTTGAAGATGCCATTCAAAATCTTGAAATAGGTTTTGATGGTCACCTTAAATCTATGGTAATTTTTTTCTTACACCTGTGAATGTTAACATATTTTATGTTGATTGCTTAAATTATGTGACAAACTCAAGTGATTTCCCTACTCATTTTCCTCCTGGCAAGATCAGGAGGGTTCAGTTTTTACTGGCTTTCAACAAATATTGCAACATACCACTCTTCTGTGTTATTTCACTAGTCCAAAATTCACATTTGCTGAAAAGGAAAATTGAAATATATCTTCAGACTAAATTATCTTACCCAAA